CCTGCAGCCCCAGCCGACCTCGCGTCCCAGCACCCGACACTGGTCCGAGCACAGGCCCAGGCCAGGCGCACACACTTCCTGTCCGACGCTGCGAGTTGTCTGTGAAGAACGCGAGTTGCCCGTGTGACCAGACAGCTCTCGGGGTTCCTTGGAGCCTGTACTCAGCACAGCGACCTCGGGCGTCTGGAGTCCTTCCCACCCTCAGAGCCGGGAGTGGGCTCGGGTCACCAGGACCGGCTGGGCCGGGCTGCTCATCCCCAGATAGGGGCTTCCACCGTGGGGACCTGGCCCCAAATCCTGGCAGGACTGCCCACCTCAGCCCTGGAGCAGGGACCCGCTGCGCCCACGCGCCCTCGAGATGTTTCCGGAAGGGGCCTCCGACCTCTTTTCCAGCTAATGTCCACCCCAGGGCCACGGGGCCTTGGTCTCGGCACACGTGCCAGAGCAGCTCAAGGCTTCAGCCCACAGCAAGTCCCACCCCAGGCCCCCAGAACCCCCCAGCCACACCCAGCCCCCCAGATCCCCCCCAGATCCCCCCAGCCCCACAGCCCAGCACAGAGCCACAGAGCCACCCCGCCAGGCCAGCGGGGGCCGAGGCCTCGGGGTCAAGGCCGAGCGCGGGCCACAGCCAGGCTACCTTCCTCATGATCTTCCGGCCGTAGAACATCACTTTGTCTCTCTTCCGGAACCTGTACTGGGGGGTGGGCTGCACCTGTCCTGCAAGGGAGCAGAGTGGCCGCCTGAGCCCCTCCCCCCGCAGCGCTGGGAGGAAGGGCAGCGAGCGTCCAGGCTGACACACCCACCGAGGGGACCCAGAGAGGGAAGGCGGCCTGGACGGGACTGGAGAAAGTGTGGACAGACGCAGACCCTGTGGGGCCCACGGGCTCAGCGCTGCCTGCACAGCCAGGGGTCTCCACCCAAAGCCCAGGGGGCGGGGGAGGGGCCTGATGGCCGCTCCCAGGAGCTCGGAACACGGGGCGAGTCACCGGACCTCCCCGTCCCCTCCCTGAGCCGGAGTCGGTAGCCATGGACTCACGTTGCCGGTTAAGCCTCCTGCGCACAAAAAGGACGGCGATGCCCACGAGGGCCAGGGCCAGGAGGGCTCCGATCGCCATCCCCGTCAGCTGGGAGAGGGCAGACAGCGCCCGTCGCTGCTCCATCACCATTAGCCACCAGGACTGCAGGGCGGTGCCCAGGCAGACGCCAGCCTGGGGGAGAGCGCGGAGGTCAGGAAGGCAGGGCAGGCCCGGGTTCCGGGGCAGAGACCAAGCTCAGGGTCGGGGAGGGGACCCGGGGAGGCAGCAGACTTCTGGGCTCTGAGGGCCTGGCCCCCTCTCAGGAGCGAGACCTGTGTCCACGGCCGCCCTCGGGTCTGCAGGGCAGGGCCAGCAGCCCGGCTGTGCTGACGGCAAACGCTCCACACGCCATTAACGCATCTGAATCCTACGCTCTCAGGCTGCGAGTCCAGAGGGAAAGGCCCGCTGGCCGTGGGGGTGCAGAGGCCAACCCTCAGCGCCCTCCGGTCACCACCAGGACCTCGAGCTGCTGGCCCCGGGCACTCAGGAGCCCAAGCGCCAGTGGTGCCGGGAAACCCCAGGAGCCACCTGGGCTTTGAGAAGCTCAGAGAAGGCTGCCAGCCTGCCCCCCCCCGCCCCCTCCGCCACTGCCCCTGGGGAAGAGCTAAGCTGCCTTCAGAAA